TCTATCTATCTATCTATCTATCTATCTATCTATCTATCTATCTATCTGTCTATCTGTCTATCTGTCTATCTGTCTGTCTGTCTGTCTGTCTGTCTGTCTGTCTGTCTGTCTGTCTAATTATATTCAGACACAATGTTTAGGTTGGTGGTATTGGATAAAATAAACATATGTGACAGAACCTAACTGTTTATTTGTTATTCTCACTACTTTAAAAAGCTTCTGAACCCTGCTGAACAAGCAGTCTCAAGAAAATTGGATTTGCATTATTGCCATTCAAATTCGCACTCTAGCATTGGTATTAACATTTGAAGCTCTGTAACATCTGTAATTGATTATCCTTCTTTGGTTCAGCTGTACAGATACCTGAACAAGCAAACATTACTTGCATGTCTTGTTTTGCAGATCTTCCTGTATGTGCCACGTGTGCAGGCGGAGTTAGGAAAATGTAGAAATGCACAGTGTGTCAAATTTAGTAAGTTGTTGTTCTTGAGGCCAAAAATGAGAAGCATACATTTTAAATTTTACTTGCTCTTAGTTTTGTTGCTTGCCCTTGCTTTCTTGATTGCTGCCTGGTATACCACTACCAAGCACTATTGTAACAGAGTTTATCGCTTTACCTGTCAATGGTATTGCTTATGGCTGTTACGCAAAAGCAACACTGCAAATTTATTTACTCAATTAAAAAAATCCACCTCATAACATATTTAACAGCTCCTTTCCTAAACTGCTTTTTGGGGAGTTCTAGGTTTCATCACCCTTGGATAAATGTCCCAAGCTTCTACAGTCAGAACCACGAACAACAATAGTGCAGTCACTTAGTTTACGATCTTTTGAGTTAAAACTATTTGACGGGTGGACAAATACACAAATACACATGTTCATCTCGACTCCAGGCACACAGAAACAACCCATCAACAAGAAAATATATTTACTTGCTCTCAGTCCTCAACTTACTGAGTTAATCAAATGTAACCCTAAAGAAAATCAATGCTACAACTTATTCCAACTCACTCACAACTCAAAAATATTATCAGCTTCACAAACACTGCGCTTCACAACCCACTGTGGCCAGGATGATGAGTTTGTTGCCTAGAACTTTTTTATGAGTGCACTTGTGTAGGGTCTGCTCAGGGTGATGCTGCTGCAAAGGTCCACACAGCCCTGGTATTATTGCTTTGCTGTCACCCCTGGCCAGGCAGAGAATAATAGGAGATAATGAACTGTTTCAGTGCCTCACACTGACACACAGCCACATGCATACATTTACACACATGCCTTAACAGCAGCTGTTCATTAACCAAAGTATGCAAACGAAACCACTGACCTGCGCCTCCCCTGACTATCAGCCCCTCCTCCTCTTTCTCCTCCTCCACATTACACCTCACCTCATCATCTCCTCTCCTGTTATTCCTTAAATCCTTTCTTTTTGCTTACCCCCTTATTTTTACCCTTTTCTTTTTCTTTTTGCTTTTATTTTCTTCCATTTTGGCTGAATTTCTTTGTTTCTGCTTAGAAAGTTACTTTTAATCTTTTCTTGGCAGTACCAATTTTTTTTCTTCTATTTATACAAAACATTTGACTTTTGGGGGAGTGGTGGCGCAGAGATTAGAGAAGATGGGCCTGTGATCGGAAGGTCACTGGTTCAACCCCCTGGACCAAAAACATCAAAATGTGGGTGGGAAAGGTGAAGCATCCACACCTGCCTCGACCCTCATTTTCCCCACTCTGGGCCCTTGAGCAAGACCCTTAACCCTCACCATCTGCTACCCTGGGCACCCTAAATGGAAGGTCTCTGCTCCTCACAGAGGGCTGTGGTAGCTCAGTGGCCTTCGGTTGTGTCAGGAAGGGCATCTGGCATAAAAAACAAACAAACAATCGCCAAGTCTTTGTGTAAGTTAGTTAGTTGTGGGCCCTGAAGAAGGGAGCAGCCGAAAGTAGAAAAAATATGTGTGTGTGTGTAGGAGTGTGTGTGTGTGTGTGTGTGTGTTTGATTAGCTTTGATTTTGGGACCTAAACAAGCATACACACAGTCATTTGGGGACACCTTGGCAATTGGGGACCAAAACCACAGTCCCCAATAAGAAAAAAAAAAAACCATATTGGCATTCAGCATGCTCCAAAATGCATTTTTATCCAAAAATCTGAAACGTCCCCAATAGTCACTGTGTGTGTGTGTGTGTGTGTAAACATTTGACTTTCTTCAACATGCATTCCATCATTTGTTGTCCAACAATTTGATGGAGGAAATGTTTGGGGGTTTTGGGGAGCACAAGTAACTATAATAACTATTGACTCCTTATATTGCTGACAATATTTAGAAGCATATTCACAATAATATTTTAACAGTTTTATGTCCATACCATTATTTTATTATGTTTCTCCCTCTTTTCAATTTACCTTTGTTTAGTTAAATTGTACAAATCTCCTAATGCTTCTCAACTGGCGTTGGGTTTTTATGTATGAGTTATTTTTTATTTGATATTATCTTTTGTGGTTATGTGTAAAATCTCAAAACAGAATTCAGATCATAGAATTGTGAAATGCTGAGAAGTTTTCTGGTGGCCACAGAGTCTTACTATCTTTTACAAAGATAGCAACAAATTCATAAATACGCTGAGCTACATTCCTTATCTTCCCACCCTCTCCCTCACCCACTCTACAACATCTGGATGTTTTCTGAACACGCAGCTGTAGTCTTCATTCTTTAGATAAAACATATATCTATTGACACTTGACTATTTATATGATCTTATTTCAATAACTGACTCATGAGAGGCATCAAGACTTGCAGAAATGCTTTAAAGCACAATTACATAACCTTTGTTTTTCAGAGGTTCATTTGGACTCGTTTCACAAGATCCAAGAACCACAAATCAAACTGAAATATTGGCACAGTGTGCTACCTGCATTTATCATGCACACGATAATTTCATCATTAAAATATACACATAAAAGAAAGTATCCTGATACATGCTCAATAATCCAGGTAGAAAAATCCCAAAAAGTTCTATCTGGTCCTCTGGACATTCAAAAAACAAGAAAACAAAAAAGACAAAAAACAAAACAAAGCAAAAAAAAAATGTAGAAACGTTTCGTCTCTCATCCGAGAGACTTCCTCATTCTGAGGTGCTCTATTCAGCTCAGTCTCTTAAATAGCACCTTCTCAGAGTGGATCAACCAGTTTGCTACTGACAACCAAAACCAGCTGCTCACATGGTCAAGAAGGACCATCAGTCTAACGATGGATCATTAGCACACTGATGGCTGTTTACTATTCACAGGGGGTTGAGTGATACTAGCAAGA